TNANNNTNCNANNNNANNANAAAGCCAAGTTTAGTTTACATCATATACAACGAATGTTCCCGCACATAGTACGGATGAGAATCTAGTTACTAATTAAATCTGCATTATCATCATAAACTATGAATTAATACCATTTTCATACTGGATTAAATAACACTAAATAATACCATTTAATAGCATAAACTATGAATTATCATACATATTTGTTAAAGACTGTAATATACTCCTCTATTTCATATTAAGGTTTAATTTTATCATCAATATAAAACATCAATTCAAAAATGATTCAAATAATGAAAAAATAATCTACATAATTCAAATAGTAAAAAACAACAAAAACACAATTAATTTTACATAAAAACTTGGAAAAATCAATTATTGGATATTAAAACACTAATATGTGAGGTTGAAAAAAAAACCACTAATATGTGAGTATAAAGCATCACAAATACATGTAAAATATCGTAATCTAATTATATTTTTAACAAATTAAGGTATATTTTTTATCTTAAACTCTCACACATGCACGTAAAATATTAAAAACAATACATAGATCCTAAAATCTAGAATCCTACTTTCTAGCATAAGAGCCTAAATCCAAATACAAAAATTTATCTGAAGTTTAAATATTATGTTAGTTATAGTCGGTTAGGGTTATCGGTTCTTTAATTTTTTTGAGTTGAAAATATTATAACGAAACTAAGTTAAACTATCCGAATAAAATTATGGTTTGGTTATGGAAAAATTCGGTTCGTATGTAAGGTTACCGAATAAAACAGAAGTATTAATTCGACTCGATTTTAGTGAAAATTATAGTTAATTTTAGGTAGTTCGATTAATTTGGATTAATCTGGTTAATTTCAGTTAGTTTAAATCGATAAACCAATAGAAATGAGATGCATAATTATATTTTAGAATTCTTCTACAAAAACTTCGGGATAGCTATTTAATAAATAAATTTTTAGTAAAATATATTAAGAAATTATGGAGTTAAACCAAATTACTTAATCAAATTTCAAAACCATATGTGAGGATGTTATGACCAAGAGACCCGTGCAATAGATCTTATAAACATAAACGTGAGTCTTTATCTTTTTTGTCTTATCAGATTTTTTTTCTTATAATTTCTTTTTCTTTTCTTCCTCGTCTTCGTGCTCATGTTTGGTTTCACCTTTGTTCTTTTTTCTTTTTGTTCTTATATTTATTCTTCTATTTTTATACGAATGTTAATTGCGGTTAAAGTCTTCGGTATTTATTTTTTGATGTTTTTTTTTCTCCGACATTTTCATTTTTCCCCCTGTTTTCTCTTAATCTTCTCATTTTCTTCTTCCAATTTTTATTCCTTTTTTCTTCAACCTATTCGTCTCATGAATTATTCTTGGGCAATTGCAAAAATATCATTTTTTATGTGTACATTTGCAAGAATGCCACTTAAGGGTGTCTATTTGCAAAAATACCACTAAT